CTTTTTTTTATTTACGGTATTTTATTATTTTGATGTTTTGAGCTCTTTTGTGTTTAGAACAATATATACTAATTTTCAAGTTATCAAATTTATTTTTTGCTCAATAAAAATCTTTCAAATGCGACTGTAGCTTCTCCCCCAAAAAAAACTTTGTCTTCAAAATAAAGGTGCGTCTTATATTCCGAAAAATACGTACTTTTGTCCGACTGAATAGTGAGATTTGATTATCATTCTTATTGCGCCCCCGTGTCTTTTCATGCACTTTTTTTGCAGCACGAACCCTCGGATTCACAGTCCGAGCACACTAACAATTGGCCACGACTGGTCATTTCCAATGTGAACAATTAACATAACCAAAACGTCGCTATAGGTGATGAAAACCGTTATTTTCTGGATAAATTTGTTAGAGAGTCCTAAGTTCAGTAGCACTACAGTAAACAAACATCAAATTATCCAATTTTTTATAAGATAAGCAAATGGTTTTAAACGATTTTTTTCACCAGTTTCATTTTCTTTAATTCATAACCTTTTAGTCACAAGTTTTTGAACTGTTTTCAGGTGTTTTAGAAACCACAGCCAATGCTACTTGAACACTATAAATAGCACTATATTTTCCACCCTGAAAGGCACCTTATGTGCTAAGCGTCAAGGTTTAGACTTTAGAGAATCCAGGAGCTCGGATATAACTGTCGTAATTTTGAATACCAACAGACAGCGGCACCCGCCGCCACAAGAGCTGAAAGTGGATATTGTGTTTTCCACTTCCACAGTCTACTGTACTTTTAGTGCTATAAAATAATAATTAGATGAGAATAGACAGCGGAATTGAAATTATAGTAGTTGGATGAGAATAGACAATGGAATTGAAATTATAGTAGTTGGATGAGAATAGACAGTGGAATTGAAATTATAGTAGTTGGATGAGATAGGGCAGTGGAATTGAAATTTTAGTAGTTGGATGAGAATAGACAGTGGAATTGAAATTATAGTAGTTGGATGAGATAAGACAGTGGAATTGGAAGTTTAGTAGTCAGATAACAGTAGGCTGTGAAATCGCAGTTGTGTTTATTGTTGTAACCCCCCGAAAGTTTAGGAACACACTTTAGTAAATAGGAATAGCAATTTGTCAACTTAATATACACATACACACCACCCTTCCCCTGGCTCAGCGGTAAGTCAGTGAGCTTATAACGCTAACATTTGGGTTTCGATATCTGTGGTGGGCAGAGCAAAAATAGCCCATTGTGTAGCTTTGTGCAAGCAAACAAAACTTTATGGCTCAGCGATAAGTCTGAAGGCTTATAACGTCAAAAATCGGTCTTCGGTACTCGAGGTGGGCAGAGAATGGACAGCCCGTTGTCGAGCTCTTCGCTTAACAACAAACAAACAAACAAATATACACCAAAAAAAGTTTAGTAACAAAGTTCAATGTATAGATGCTGTAAATGGTTTTTAAGTGTCTTATGTACAATTTGATTTTCATTTTAAAAAAATGTTCTATTTTTGATACCAACATATTCTTCAAAGCTAAAGGAACGGCTCTAGATAATAATATTTTTCATGTGAGATACTTTATATAAATAGCTAGTTCACCCACCGTAATGTCAGAAGCTGCTCCTTGTAGAGAACCTGTGTTCGAAATTTCTTCTTCCATGTTAGATATTGCAAGTTTGGAACCACCAAAACGGACAGATTTTGACGGGATTTTCAGCAATGGATCGCTTTTTAGAATCCTCTCAAAATCTGTTGCAATCTGTCCTGAAGCATGCTCATTAGCTAAGGTGGCGACAGAGTCTAAAGTATTCCGTTTTGGTGTCTTGGTTATTGGTAAAGTTGTTTCGGTGTCTTCGTCGGAATCCTTGGACGAATCTGTTGTTGTTGTTGCTAAGGTGGCGACAGAGTCTAAAGTATTCCGTTTTGGTGTATTGGTTATTGGTAAAGTTGTTTCGGTGTCTTCGTTGGAATCCTTGGACGAATCTTTTGTTGTTGCTAAGGTGACACTATAGCCTTCATTATTCCTCGCCAATTTTTCAGTCGTTGTTGTAAAAGTTGCTGGAGTTTCTTTCTTGTCGGTCTCAGCTGAAAAATATGTTGTCTCTATGGTAACAACAGAACCAGCAGAAGTAGTCTCGGTAGGATTTTCAGTGTTCGTTAAAGTATCTGCAGTAACTTCCGAGGCAGTCTGTCTTGAAGAATCTGAAGTTGTTAAGGCAACAATAGAATTATCAGGGATAACTTTTGATACAGATCTTATTGTTGCCTTTGTAACTTCTCTATCAAAATGCTCTGAAATACCTTTTGTTCCTAAGGTAATAACAGGAGTTCTTATCGCATTGGGTAATAATGATTTTGCTGTTGGTATAGTATCAAAACTTTCCTCTGGGCTAAAAAGTTTTCCTTCGTCGGCCACTTGACTTGAAACAGAAGTTTGTCTGTTAATTTGTAGGCTTACGTCTGTGGTATTTGTATTAAAGGGGTAATTTCGTGCGTTATTTTGAGTATTCATATCTTCTTCGTCAAGAAGCTCTGTAACATTTGCGAACACACTTGTTGATGTGGTAACATCCTGCGATTCATGTTTGGTTGATGTATCTAAAAGAGTGACTTTATTGGAGAAAGCTGTTTCGGTTGTCCTCTCCAGTTGGGATGTCCTTAAGTTTTGTCCAGAACCGTATGGTATTACATGCATGGTAGCTACTATTAACAGAACTGTTTTCATTACAAATACATTTGTAATTGTTTTAAGAAGTGTAACCTTAAGCCTAAGCGTTTCACACAAGAGAGTCAGCGACATTGTAGAAGGTGATAGATAAACTGACAAAATTAATAGAAGTCAATTATTAGTGTTTACATGCTAGTTTATGCTTTCGAAACTTTATGCAAATTAAATTTGCATGTTGCAATTCCAATAGTGTGAAAATATTTACTAAGACTGTTGAAGAGAACGGTTGCTTCAGCTTGACGGACACACAGAATTCTTTGTTTGGACGACTGTTGAAGAGAACGGTTGCTTCAGCTTGACGGACACACAGAATTCTTTGTTTGGACGACTGTTGAAGAGAACGGTTGATTCAGCTTGAAGGACAAACAGAATTCTTTGTTTGGACGACTGTTGAAGAGAACGGTTGCTTCAGCTTGAAGGACACACAGAATTCTTTGTTTGGACGATTGTTGAAGAGAACGGTTGATTCAGCTTGAAGGACAAACAGAATTCTTTGTTTGGACGACTGTTGAAGAGAACGGTTGCTTCAGCTTGAAGGAGAAATAGAATTCTTTGTTTGGACGACTGTTGAAGAGAACGGTTGATTCAGCTTGAAGGACAAACAGAATTCGTTGTTGGACGACTGTTGAAGAGAACGGTTGCTTCAGCTTGAAGGACAAACAGAATTCGTTGTTTGGACGACTGTTGAAGAGAACGGTTGCTTCAGCTTGAAGGACAAACAGAATTCGTTGTTTGGACGACTGTTGAAGAGAACGGTTGCTTCAGCTTGAAGGACACACAGAATTCTTTGTTTGGACGATTGTTGAAGAGAAGGTTGCTTCAGCTTGAAGGACACACAGAATTCTTTGTTTGGACGATTGTTGAAGAGAACGGTTGCTTCAGCTTGAAGGACACACAGAATTCTTCGTGGATGACAACCGGATTTAGTTTGACCAGTTTCTTACAAACGTCACGTGTTTAAATGTCTTCACTGCTAGGAGTTTTTTTTTTTCAGAAGAATCTTGGCACAGTCACAGCCACTATTGAACTTTACAAGGAAACGTCACAAGGACACAAGAAAATGAACAACGCCCTCTACAGTGATGAAATTGTAGGTCGACAAGCCGAGAGGTCACGAGAGCGAAACCAAAGAAAGTGACGAGTGTTATGGTTGAAGAGACAGGATAGGATGGTTCCAGACGGAACAAAAAGATTTAATTATTCACTCTTAATGGCAACTTTCTGCTCGCCTGGTTCAGATACATTGTCCCATATCACGTGACCGTCAAAGAGAGTCTGCCAAGATAAAAACAGGGCTTGACTAGCTTAGAAGCACACTGCGGGAAACTATATGGCCCGTTTTTTGTGTGTGTGTGTCTGTTAAAAGCAGTAACTTTTCAACCATGACAAACTTCAATGTTTATAAATATATGATTTAGTAAGAGCGTTATCTGTTAATGGTGACAAGTTGGAGCCAGGACTGAGTAATTAACAGATGAAGAACTTGCAAAAGCTTCGGTCATTGTGATTTCTACTTATAAAGTAGAAATCGAGCTTGGAATTGTCTTCTTCTGTGCACAGATGCGTGTATGGCCTATTTAATTTCCTCTTATCTCTGTAGCATACGAACAACTTAAAAGTATCTATTATTCTAATTAATCATTCAAATGTTGCATATATATTTCTTACGAAAAGTTTCAATTACGATATAGTGGAAGAATACTTTTCAATCTTGGGGTCTTCCCAATTTAATTTCAGTTTCACAAAGCGAGGAATGACTCTTGTAAGTCTTGATATTATCTCTTAGCCATTATTAAGATGCGTTCTAAAAAACAACAACAAATAAGCAAAAAAATACAGAGGGTTATAGTAAGACGAGAACACTTCTAACACAGAATTGATAAATATCGCTAGAATGTACGTAAAGGAAGTCATATCAAAATATACATTCCGATCTGGATCATTTAAACCTGTAACAAAGTTATGATTTAAACGCCGAAAGCCTGTGAAATATTCAAAAATCCATAGGCCTAAAAATCAGTATAACTGATCAGTATTGAGCAGTGACTTGATAAAAGGAAGATTTTTAACGCTTTTTTTTTTTTTTGCCCATCTCTGATTTTGAGCCGCAATGGTTTGTT